TATGTTGGTGTTTCCCAGTATTCTGACTTTGATTTTCTTTCGGATTATGTTCATTTCTTATATAGTCACATCCACCCTCACAATTTTAGCTACCACCTGTTTTCTCATTCTTTTATTCTTTCTCTTTTTTTTCTCAGATCTTTGTGTCTGTATATGTGTATACATCTTACTCGAGCCCCTTTTTCAAGTTTATCTGCCTGCTAGACAGTTGCATTTCAGTGTTCCATAGGTACTTCAAATTCAGCACACACAACTCCATCTATGGCTCCTAAAAATTTGCTTTTCTTATCTTATTCTCCACTTTGTTGAAGGACCATAACCATAAATCAACTTAGTTTTCCAAGCCAGAAACATAGAAGGCACACCTGACTCTTCCTCTTCTTTTGCATCCTACATCTATCCAGTCACCAGGTTCTATCAATTTTATTTCTCAGCATCTCTTAAATCTAACATTTCCTTTCCATTTCTGTAGCCTTAGTTCAGCTCTTTATTACTTATAGCATTTTTTTTTTACAGTAGCCTAAAGCCTTACAGTAGCCCTCCACCAACTATACGATAAAGTTCAAGCTTAGCATAACATGCAAGGCACCTGTGATCTGGCCCCTTTACTTGTATAGTTTTTTCTCCTGACACAGTTGCCATCTCCACCCCTAGTTTTTACATTCACAGTTCTCTAAGCACTTTCTTATCTTTGCTTTAGTACATGCTTATCCTTCTGCCTGAATGTCCTTTTTACTTTCTCCTCTTTCAGCTCTACAGAAGCCATGCACATTTTTTATGTGATTGGTTTATTAAGAATTCAGTTGTATACTATGTACAGAATAGATAAACAAGATAAACAAGGTCCTACTGTATAGCACAGGGAACTATATTCAACAGCTTGTAGTAACCTGTAATGAAAAAGAATATACATATCTGAATCACTATGCTGTATACCAGAAACTAATACATTGTAAATTAACTATAGTTCAATTTTTTTTAACATTAAAAAAAAAGAATTTGATTGTAAAGGGAAAGGCCTTTCTGAATCTGTTTTCTGTGGGAATCTGCATTTGCCTCTAAACATGTCAGTTATCTTCTCTCCATGTTTATGTGTGTGTCTGGTGAAGGGGGGAAGCATTCGAGTTCAGAATATTTAGTTACTCAATACTCTTCACCTAATGCTATTCCATCCTCATCAGTCTGTATAAAATCTTTCTCTTTTAATTGTATTTTTCCTTTCTACATCCCATTTCCTGTTTCAGTTTCTTTGATGATTATTTTTTATATATCAATTTTGACACTATATTTTTCCAGAAAATTTATCTAAGCCAGAGCTTCCCAACCCAATCATGTTGCTGCACACATAGAAAATAATATGTGCATTCATAGTGAGGTATGTGAAGCCAAAGGTATAAGAGACTAAGGGTTTCTGGCTTCCATCATCTCATGGACCACCCTGAGAGTTAAAAGCAGTATCTCAGCATAAGTATAACTCATCTGTGTTACTTGCCATGATATACTAGTTGAGAAGCTTGATCTAGACGTTCAAATATATTTGTGTATATAGTTCATATCTGTCAGTGATGTTGCAACAGATCACAAAGATAGAATTGTTAGTATAGCTTGGTCTGAAAAAGCAAAGCAGTAAGTAATTTTGTCTTAATTAATGCAGGCTTAGGTTAGCTGCTGCCATGTATCTGGAGGGCAGGAAAGGGGCAGAATGAAATTATCTGTATAAAGCAGAGCAGATATATTACAATCAGGTTGGGTCACTAGACTCGTGTTCCTGGAGTAGCAGGTGGAAAGGAGTAGCTTAACATTACAGACCACTAAATACCTACTTATTCAGATCTGCAGGCAAAGGGTAGTCTGGTCTTACAAATTATTTTAAAACTTGGGCAACAAATTGATCCTGGAGAAGACAGAAAGCCATAAGATAAATGTGAGTTCTCAATGTTATCTGGTACCCCAGTTTTCAAACTATGATGTCAGGAATCCTTTGCACTATTAAAAATTATCAAAGACCCCAGACAGTTTTTGTTTATGTGGGTTATGTCTATCAATGTGTACTGATTTAGAAATTAAAATGGAAGAAATTTAAATGTATATTTATTAATTCATTTGTAAATAACAGTATATTGATGACTCACATTTTATGAAAAAACTGTTTACCAAAACAAAAAAAGTGAGAAGAATAGCATTATTTTACATTTTTCCAAGTCTCATTAACATCTGGTGGCTGTGTTCTCACATCAGCTTCTGCATTGAGTCTGCTCCTATATGTCACATAAGCTGTGGACAATTCCACAGTACACTCGTGAGAGAATGAGAAAGAAGAAAATTGCTATGAAACTGCAGAATTATGGGAATAGTTTTGACCTTGCAGAGCTCCTGAAAAAGATCGCTGAGATCCCTGGGAGTCTCCAGGCACACTTTGAGAAGTGCTGATCTAGTAGAAAGGATGAATGCTAGGCCCTTTGGAGTTTGACCTACTTAGATACCTATTTTTTAAGTTATACTAAATGCCAGGTGGATGATGTGGAATGAATACATGATTAAGTCTAAACTTTCTCCTAGTTTTGATTTGAAATTTTTTATCACAGAAAAATTCTTTTCCAATCATAAGCCCTTATTTATGGTTTTGTGCTTCATGCTGTAGCACAAAATCAGTACCCAATAAATACTTGTCAAATGTATAAATTTCCTTACGGTCTGTACAGCTGTCACTGACTTGATGCCAGTAGCTTTCTGTCTTTCATTGAACTCTGTACTAATGAGGGCAGGATGTGAGCTTTTGACAACTCTAGGATAGTAAGTCTGCTCCAAAGTCCAGATAATAAAAAAATTATCTTGGCTTCACCCAAGTGAGCAGGGTATAAACCCATCCCTGTTGTATGAAAGAGGGCTTTTTTCTCTTTTTTGCCTTGCTGGAGGTACCATCAGGGAGTACCCAGACTAAACTATCTGTTTCTAGTAAAAATAATAATAGCTGCCTTTTAATGAATGTTTACAAAGTGTCAGGTACTGAGTTAGGCATGCATCATGCCATTTCATCTTTAAAATAACCCAGTTAAGTAAATATTATCCTCACTATGTAGGTAACTTCCATAAAGTCTCTTAGCTGTTAAAATCTGTCTAACCCCAGGACCTTTAATCAACCTGACTGAATTGAGGAAGAGGCCTGGATTCAGGGGTAAGAGTAGGAATTGGAGAATCTGTTGTTTTTTTTTTTTAATATGGTACATTTTTTACAATGAATGAACAATAATTGATACATTATCACTGACTAACATCCATGTTTAAGATTTTCTTTGTTTTTTTAAATTTATTTTTGGTGGGGGGGTAGTTAGATTTATTTAATTTTTTTTTTTAAGAAGAGATACTGGAGACTGAACCTAGGACCCCCTGTATGCTAAGCATGCACTCTACTGCTTGAGCTATACCTCACCCCTGGAGAAGCTGTTTTTATTTTTGGATCTACCTCTTTATTCAGTTAATCTAGATGGAAGGAGATGGAGAAGACAGAGATGATTCAGTGCTTTTATTTCTGATACAGCACCAACTCTACAGCAGAGAATGACTGCCTTAATTACTCTTGGTTGCTAATCAATACTAGGTCTAAACTGCTCCAACAGAGCAAGGATGGAATTCACTAGACTGGTCTTATCAGTTACTGAGCACAGAACCTTAGTGAATACAAAAGCAGTATTCTCTGTGTTCACGAGGAGTTTAAACATGATGGGGGTTTAAAATATTTGTACAAAGAATTTACATACCAAGAATATCTACTAGCATTGGCATTTGAATGAAACTTTTGTACTACCTGTGTAAAGGAGAGAAGAGAATGGGTTACAGATGTGGCCTACTTTGTGCTCTGAATAAATGTTTCCCCATGGCTCAGGGAAAGTGATAAAGGTAAAATAAATTTTCATAGGGGAAGATAATAAACAGAGTTTCTTATTCTCAGTCCCTCCCTTAGAGATAAATTCTGGATTTGGATGCAGATCAAGAAAATAGGTCAAGAGCACTCCATCTTACACCTCCCAGTTATGATTTCATCATAAGATTCCCTAAGATGCTAAGAGAGCTAAAACTGGTTTTGACTTATCCAGAAAGTGACTATATAAAGCTTTTCATGAGCAGATGCTCATGAAAATCTATGGTTGTGGAAGAGGGAGATCTTTCTTGAAGAACCAAGGAATAATTCCTCAATTTTCAAAGATCTAAAAGTTGGAAATTAATTATAGTCAATGATACCACCATGGATTCTCAGAAACAGAAAAAAACCTTGTACTTCATCTCATATAACCCCTCTTTTAGATGATGAAGCCAAAACCCAGGAGTTAAGAGACTGGGCCAAGTTTATATGACTTATTAGTGGTAGATCTGGGACTAGAGTTGAGTACTAATAGGTAATTTCTTCTCACCACTCTTCCTAGTTTTCTGATGTCTTTCTTCAGAACTCCTGGAAGTTCAATTTCCATAATCTTTTGATTAGGTAGGAAGGTGACCACGACCCAGGATATTTGTATTAGGAAGAACTGAGGTTCTACTTTTCCCTCCAATTAAGATCTTCTTGATCTTTTGATGGAAGGGAAATTACCATTTACTAAGCACTTCCCTTGTGTCAGGGTCTTCATAATGTTGTTTCATTGAATACCTTCAAGATTCATGTAAACTAGACCTGCTTGTAACATTTTAATGAGCATAAGAAATCCCTGGGCATCTTGTTAATAATGCAAGATTTTGCTGAACTGGAATTCAAGATTCTGTGTTTCTGAAAATCAGCCTCCAGGGAAAGCTCCCAATGCTATTGCTCTGTAGACCTTATGTAGCAAGGATGCTGATATTGTCTTCATTTTATGGATGAAAAACTGAAGTTTACAGAGATTAAATAAGTTGCCCAAGTTACTACAGGCAGTAAATGGTAGACTAGTGATTTAATTTAGGTCTTTCTGACTCTAAAGCTCAAGATATGGTAAGGGAAGCCAGGGGAAAAATGGAAAGAGAGCTTATGTCCCAATTATTTCCTCAACAGGTCACTTCTCAAGGGAGTCAATGGCAGAACCCAGGACTAAACCAAAAAGTCCTGACTCCCAGCCAAGTGTTTCCCCCTTTTCCTCTTATCAGTCCCCTAATTAAGATCTTTGCTTCCTGCTTCACAAACTGTATTTAGAATTGGCTTTTGGGTTTTCTCCATTACAGGTTTATTGCCAAACCCTGTGCTCTCCATGTTGGCATCCAGGACAGTGGTCCTTATCAGGCCCAACCTAATGCCATCCTTGAAAAGGTGTTCATATCTATTACCAAGGTAAGTGGGCAAAGAAACAGAGAGGAAGATTCATGTGGAGAGTTGCTCCATAGGGCAGGGGAGGATAGAGAGCAAGTATTTCCAAGGATAAGGACAGGCTGGGATGGTCTTTCACATTTAGATAGTCCGTATAGCTATTAGGAGAACTTTATCCACTCAGGGAGATGCCTTTGGGCCAGGATTCCCTTAAAGTAGTCAAGATATATACATCTGAGTTTTAGGCCTAGCAGCCACTGTCACCCCTCCTCCCCCAGACACACATCACATTTTGATTTTGTTTTTCCCTGTTCCACCTCCTGTCATTACCTAGTTGCATAATCAAGATGGGGATGGTACTGATAGCCTTTGCAATATGGGTTTTTAATACCATTTTTTACTCAGCTTGGGCTGAAGGGAGAAGACCAAACAAGGATGTGTATAAGTGAGTGGTAAAGGTCCTTGATGTGTGAAATAATACTTCTTACTAAAAATGACTTTGAGGATGAAACATCATTTAAGCCACTGTAGTTACCACCCCTCTGTCACTCAGCTAGTCAAAGGGAAGTTTATGAGAAGTTTGAAGAGAAAGGGGTGTTCTGATCCTGGTCATACATCTACAGTATCCCGATGATAAACGGCTGGAAGGCCTGTCAAAGCAGCTGGACTGGGATATCCGAAAAATCCAATGCTGGTTTCGCCATCGGAGGAATCAGGACAAGCCCCCAACGCTCACTAAATTCTGTGAAAGCATGTAGGTGTGCAGAAGGAGGTGGGGAGTGAGGAGAAGGGTGGGGTAAGACTGGACTGAGGTTTTTTTTTGGAAATCACTTCTCTTGCTAGGATAACAGTTGATCGATGTGGAGGGCTAACTCTATTACAGGCTGGAAAGAAGAGGACTGGAAGCCTGGTCACCCTTAGTTTCTTGGGACATGCTTGCCCCTAAGCTAGATGTAGTTCCATTTTGTTCCCATTTCCCAAATAAATTAGGAGTGAATTCCTATACCTGTACTTACATAGGTAGTTATGCACACCCTTGTACACCTTGGTAGAGATAGCACCAGCTTGCTCTAAATTGACATTTTAGTGGGAAGCATCCTTTTTCTGGACATACTATAGTTCATTTCACTGGGTTTTTACTAACTATCCTTTTGGCACAGAGCACTGTATCACTGTGATGCAAAAAAAAAAAATATTAGGCACTATCATCAGGGGGTCTGATATGGAAGGAAAGTTGATTAAACCAGTATACACTTGTGGAATCTATTTTAAACAGAGTCTGGAAAATTTTTTTGTTTTTTTTTTTGGCTTTTTAGGTAACAATATTTGTCCTTCTTATGGAAACTTACCTTGTTTCTTACCAGTAACTGTCTTATCCCCATACTGCTATCTTGACTCCTGTAGCTTCAAAGACTTTCTTTAGAGTGAATATTTATCTAACTTCTACTCCTTGCCCATCCAGGTGGAGATTCACTTTTTATTTATGTATATTCTGCTACGGAATTAGATTTCTCTGGTCGGTGAGTCTGAACTTTCTCTGGTTCTCTGCTGGAGTCTAATCATGCCTACATCCCTAGAGATAAGAGTTAAATACTTTTAACCCCTCCTCCCCCTTGCTCCCTTTCCCTATGTGATGCTCAGATCCTAGGTTTATAAGCTAAATAGATTGTCTTCTGCCTGGGGCCTGACTTCAGTAACTTCATGACACTACTGTTTCTCTCTTAAATAATGCTAATAATAATAATATTGATTAAATCAGCATAGTATGCGATGGTTTACAAAGCACTCCACAAAAGTTCTTTTCTTCCAAGGGGGAGACAGCTACAGATATGTAATCAGTAACTCATTAAACTGGGTAAAACAGGTGTTATTCCTGTTTTTCAGTTAATTGTCAAAGTCAGAGAAGAATTTCAGGCTTTTTGATTCATGATTCCATGTTTTTGTTTTTTTTTTACTGTGCCACACTATTTTCCTCTAAATGAAATAACTGAGGCTTCAAAATACATGAACCAAAAAGAGGCAGAACTGAAGGAAGAGAATAGACAAATGTATACAATCATAATTAGAGATTTTAATACTCTTAGTAATTGACTAAACCACTAGACAAAAAAAAAAAATCACTGAGGATGTGGAAGATTTAAGCAACATAGTCAATTTGGCCTATACCAACACCTGAAGAATATATATAATTTTCAAGTACACATGGATGGATCATCAACTAAGACCATATGCTAGGCCATAAAATGTCTTAGCAAATTTTAAAATACTGTTCTCTGATTATAATGGAATTAAAATAGAAATCAATAATAATAAGATGTATAGAAAATATTTGGAAGTTAAACAACTCTTCTAAATAACCCAAAGAGCAAATAAGAAATCACAAGGGAAATTAGAAAATGTTTTGAATTGAATGATGCTGAAAGTACAAAATACCAAAATTTGTGGGATACAGCTAAAGCATGCTTAACAGGAAATTTATAACTTTAAATGTTTATATTAGAAAAGAAAAGGGCTTTAAAATCAATGGAAAGATTTTTTTTAAGATCTGGAAAAAGAAGAGCAAAGTAAACCCAGAGTAAGTTAAAGGAAAGAAATAATTTAAAAACAAGCAAAAATTGTTAGACAAATAAAGGAGAAAATTAATAAAGCCAAAAGTTGGTTTTTTGAAGGTTTAATTAAAATCAATAAACCCCTAGGGAAAAAAGAGAAAAATGATTAATAACAGGGAGAAGAAGCAGCTATCACTATAGATCTTGTGGACACTGAAAGACAATGTTATGGACAATTTAATACTAATAAATTCAATAGCTCAGATGAAGTGGACAAATCCCTTAAAGGATATAATTGAAATTCCATTAGATATGATTATTTTTGAATCTTTGCCTTGGAGATCTCTCCCTTCATTATCAACTGGAATCACTGTCTTCCTGCATCCCAATTTCCTATGTCCTGGGTGGTGATGTTCCCCAAAACTATCCTAGAGCTCTCTTTGCTCTTAGTTATTCAAAGCATGGTTTGTCTATTTGTAATAACAGTTTCTTGCTATAGAAGAAAAAGTCTAGCCATTTATTGACCTTTTGAGGATCCCTAAATTCGGTCAAGAGGGATTCCTTTCTTTCCATCTCTCTTTTGCCCCTAGCATAGAGAGGGATTATATAGATAAGCCAGGGAGAATCCTGAAGGCTGACTTGGATTATCTGTTTTCTCTTAGTCACCTTGGTTGTGGGACACCCGACAGTGCTGGCACAGTTACCCTTATCAGGTAGGATCGGAGCCCTTTCAAGACAAGGGCCTTATATGTGTGTGTAAGATGAGGTAGGAGAGAGTTCATTGCCAGTCCCAGAGCAGGTGGCATGTTTCCCTGGTATTCTTGAGGGATTAGGGACTGAGTCTCCTTGAGTCATATATTCAGGGTATCTATTTCTGGGGTCCCCATAGCAGTGAAATCCAGTGATCTGTTTGTTCCAGGTTCCTAAATTCACCCTAATTGGGCTGGAAAGAAAAGCAACTTCTTGGCACTCAGTGAGGTGCTTTCTGGTTCAGGTGTCCCTTTTTAATCCCTTAAAAGCATCTTGGTTTAGTCTATAGTAGAGAAATGTCAGGGGGCTGCTAACAGGGTAGAAGAAGGGAAGGCCTCTGAAATCACTGATTGTGATTCAGTCCCCTGACAATCACTAACTGCCCAGAATTCTGGACACACTGATTTGTGCTATAGTACGTATGAACCTTATCTGATCTCTGGGAGATGAGAGCTGAAGATACGTATGTAAAGGGCAGAGGGAAGATGTTTAAGTCTCCATACCAATCCAAAGTCTGTTAGTTATTACAGATCTTGGAAGATGATGAAGAGGAAGAATGTTTAATAATTTTGGGTATGGGTCCTCTTAGAGAAATTTGCAGAGAAGGAATGAGTCTTCGACTAGCCATTGTTCTAACTACTTCTTTCTCTTTTCCAGCCTCTCACAAGTGGGCTTTATTACTATTATATCATGGAATTGGCCTTCTATTGGTCTCTTATGTTTTCTCAGTTTACAGATATTAAAAGAAAGGTAAGGACTTTGGTTCCCTCAACTCCCTGGCTTATTGCACCCTCCTTTCTAGCAGCTGTCATTATTGATTATCATTGTGATGGATTTGCTGCCCTAATTGGACCACAAAAGAGGGAGAAACTAGGTTTGATGGGACGTTTAGCTCTTTGTAATGTTTTCAGAAATGAGACCTGACCAATGATGAAGTATATTTGAGGCATTCAAGGCATGCCAGGATGAGAACGGTTAAGCAGTGTAAGAAGCATACCCTTTTCCTCATTTTTCTGCAAGGCTTACATATGGAAAGCTCAGGAAACTAGTCATAACTTCCCTTCTTGGTGAACTTCCCTTCCCCAGTTACTTAAAGAATGTCATCTGGAACAGGTTTTAGATGATTTAGTTTGACCCTTTTCTTGCTATTGTTTAGGAAACAAAAGATTAAGAGAAGTGAGTTGACTTGCCCACATAGTGAAAAAGTTGAAAATAACTTTTTTATAAGCTGTCACCTTTTATTGGTGTCCACCTGACATAAAGCAGTTCCAGCAGCTCTAACCCTAATCTGTCACTACCTTATGGTTATCTTTAGTGAAGAAAATCAGGGTTAGCATTTGTGAAAATGGATTGAAACTAATCTGGGTTATTAATTGTTATGTAACCTAGAAGCTTGATACTCAATTCAGAGTATTTCATTCTCCTATCGTCAGGAGACATGGGTCCCCTTATTAAAATTTTATTTTAATACATGACACATATGAAAATGTTTATAATATATTTGTAGGTTTTAAAACATACTACAGTGTATACTTGTGAACTCATCTCCAACTCAAGAGCTAGAACATACCATTGTATCTGTCTTTGTGGAAAGCAGACTTTTCATCCTTATTTCTATGATGCAAATTTACCTACCTTCTCCCACCCTCTGTCACTCACTGGACCGTGAAGTATTTATTAGATGCGTCTGGTAACTCAGGAATTTAGACATTTCTCCAGGTCTAACCTTGGCATTTGAACTCAAGAAGAAATTAAGCTTTAAATCGGAAAGCAGAAAGTGCTTGCAGTAAGATGGATTGTTTAACTTTTCTCTGAAACTTTTTGGAATAGTTTAGTTTTGCTGCTCCACAAACTTCTCCTTTCTGTTAGGTCCCTTTGGTTGAAATTTTCTTCATCAAAGCAAAAGAGTCTTAGATTCTCAAGGATATCTCAGACTTGTATGCCTGGCTTCTACCTGGGAAATTGGATTTCCAAGTGTTAGCTCAGCATCCAAGCTCTACAAGTTCTGCAGCTACCAAAGAAGATTGCTTTTTCTGTGCTTTGAGCTAAATTAATGTAGATTATGGGTCAGTCACTGATGTAGAGAGTTTTGGGTCAAATGCTAGGCTGCTCCTTGAAGGAGATTTCTAAGGGGTTGGATAAGACCCTCTAAGAACAATTGTTGCGGGGTATTGAATTAGCTAGCAGCTCTGAGGCCTTGCCTTTACCTGCCTCTTCTATTTCCATTCTTTCCTAGGACTTCCTGATCATGTTTGTGCATCACTTGGCCACTATTGGGCTCATCACCTTCTCCTACATCAACAACATGGTTCGGGTGGGGACTCTGATCATGTGTCTACATGATGCCTCAGACTTCTTGCTGGAGGTAAGACCACAACCCCTCTTTCCTCTTCCTTTTTCTCTCCTTTTCTTCCTATCTGAGAACTGGCTCAATTCTTATCCCCAACTCAATTCTTAACCCTCCTTTGTTCAGGCAGCCAAGCTGGCCAATTATGCCAAGTATCAGCGTCTCTGTGACACCCTTTTTGTGATCTTCAGTGCTGTTTTTGTGGTCACTCGTCTAGGAATCTATCCATTCTGGTAAGTTCTAGGGCTGTGGAGCTTTGGTGGGTATGTGGCCAGTGATACCTTTTGCCAGTTTAGGGAACAGACCACCAAGAACTCTAACCTGAGCCTTTACAATTCTCAAAGGACCTTGTTTCCCTTGCACAATATTTTTAGTGAGGTGTGATCCAGATGAGAGCATCCAACTCATTTAGCTGTGGCTCTCTTGACTCATCTCTGAGGGACAGTCCTCATTTTATGCCTAATTCCTTTGCCTCCTTTTGCACTAATTACAACATTCTCAGGCTCTTCTTGTTTTCCTGCTCTGTACTCTCTCTCCTATCCTGAGCAGTGCGTGAGCACATGCACACACGCACACCATTCTCACTTCTACACTCATTACTTTATAGTACAAAGTCAGTGACTCTGGGTTGGAGATTTTGCTTAGTCTGAGGGAATAAGCTACCTAAGGTCTCATATGTGCCTAAGGATCTGAGTGATTCCTAGGTTATGATTAAAATTAGTGTCCCAGTTTTGTGAAATGCTGCATATTTGAAGTGATTAATAATATGACTTAATCCACCAGTTCCTAAGATTTCTGTATCTTTTCCTGTCCCTAAAGATAGAAAACTCCACAGGCCCCTTTTATTCTTCTTCACTGTGGATGAGTATCTCTGGAACTTCAACTGATAGACGGTATGGAGAGAAAACACACAGGGTTCTGCTTCCAAGGAAATTCAGCTTCATCCCTGTCTGCCTGGCTTTGACTCTAGAATCTGACCATTGGCTTCCCTCTTACAGGATTCTGAACACGACCCTCTTTGAGAGCTGGGAGATGATCGGGCCCTATCCTTCTTGGTGGTTCTTCAATGGCCTTCTCCTGATCCTACAGGTTCTCCATGTCATCTGGTCCTACCTAATTGTACGAATTGCTTTCAAAGCTTTGATCCGAGGAAAGGTGAGGATGGAAGACGGCTTCTTTCTTTGGGGCTGAGTGAGAAGATAGGTATTATGCAGTAGACATTCTCTTTCTATCTAGCCTGGTGAGTCCCATCTACATAAGTAGACCTAGCAAAAAGCCTAGGGCTCCAGAGTTCTCACCTTTTCTTTAAGTATGAGTGTTTCACCTTCTAAGATGTGACTTAGATGTAAGAGGAAGGATCTGTCTTCTTCCTGTCCCTTAGGAATGGCTGTTAAATAATGAATAGGATTAGGTTTTGGAGATGTCCTGAGCCATTTCCTGTCCTTTACCTACCTAGTTCAGTGAATTTCATATTTTCGTTTTTAGCATGGGAGCCTTTTTTCAAAGGAAATCACATGCAGAGCTCCAAGACAGAAACTGTATAAAAGCAGAGATGCTGTATTGCCTAGGAGTGGTCTGGTAATTCACAAGCCACCCCAAGATGACTACACTGTGATGTTCAAGATATGGTTTATGTAAGGGACTAAGTACCAGCCTCCCCTTACTGTTGTATGAGGCATGGGTCCTAAGTGAGGTAGGTCTTTAGGGTTTCAAATACCCATCTTATGCCAAGAGCCCAAAATCACAAAGAAATGCGTCATTTAACGGTAAACTCATAACTGAATTTTGCAAATTCTGAGGCAGTCAAGCTGTGATTAGTCTGAGGGTTGGAGATTCAGCCTTAAGAAATACAGAATCCCAAGGAGAAGGGCTCTGGTAGAGGACACACTGACTCTAGGACAAAGGGATGGATGTTACCCAGGTATATATGATCTCTTGTGTCACTGTTCCTTATGGCTGCAGTTGGTTTCAGAACTTGCTTATTGTGCCTGTGCATCTTGCTGTAGCTACTGGACATCTCTCTTCTCCCCTGCTTTTCTTTCCTGACCAGGTGACCTATCCAGGAAGGATTAGACCCAGACTCTGTACTCTCCACTCTTTTCTCACCTCCTTCCTTTTTTCTGTGCCTGGTGGGAGCTGGACAGTTTCATCTCTTGCATGTAAGTGTATCTATGCTTCTAGTGTTCAGTGAAGCATGTCTATCTGAAGTGTTTCTCTTCCTTCCTGCTTTCCTTTCTGTTTCCTTGTGTTGTCTCAGAGCATGCCCTCTCCTGACCTGGCCAGGCCATTGTTGACTGGAGCTCAAATTGCCAGATTTTTTTCCCTAAATTGAGGCAAGAGTAGAGTCTCCCCCCCCCCCTTTTTTTTTTCTGTTTTTCCTTTCTCATCCCCTCCACCGCCCTTTTTTGATCCTCCCTTTACCTCACATCTAGACACACTGCCCTCTGGTGGAAGTTTCATAAAGATCAGGTAATCAGTTATCTGGGCTCAGAGGTCAGTAGCTATAATAAACCATAGAATCTGAGAGCTAACCTAAGCCAAGTACCCCCACCCTTGGCAACAGCAATTGTAGTTTTGTTTCCTTCTCACTCCCTTCTGTTACTTAAAAACACACACACACACATTTATTATCCTTCAGTTCTAGAGGGCAGAAGTCTGACATAGGTCTCACTGGGTTTCTCTCCTTTACTTTTATGGTCCACGGTAGAGAATTTGAATACTTTGCTTGGTATATAGGATAGTTTAGATTGGAAAACACAGCTCTAATCTAAACATCTAAACCCTTCATTTGAAAATACAAAACAAAAAAGCTAAGGTTAAGTGGTAAAGATTCATAGAGAGTAGCATGATTGGGACTGAGATTCTTTTCTCACTGACTGCCAGGTTTTGTTTTGTTTTGTTTTTCCTTTTCTTTTCCTTTTTTACCATACTATGTATCTTGGGGATGCCAAAGTTGCTCAAGAAAAGTAATCCTGATACTGGGAAAAGGGGGAAGAGTGGAGAAAAAGTGTCATAGGGTGTTGATAGTTGAGCCCAGAAAGAGTAGAACTACTGAAAAGGCCCACTAATGGATCAGCTTTAGGGAGAGAGTAAAACTCAGGAGAACCAAAACTGCAGTGGCCACAACCACCAGAAGACAGAAGCAAGGATGACAGCTGTTTGTGTTTGCTGCATCTGTTTCTATTTTTTTGAGGTGGATTAGGAGAAAAGGTGTATGTGAAGTTTCCTTCAAACCTCAACCGGAACTTCGTGAATGATTTCAGCTCTTTCAGGCTGGTCCTGAAACGTAATTCCCTCTATCACAATAGCTACTTATTCCATTGAGAACAGAAGTAGAGAAGATGAGAAACCCAGAAAGCAGACAGAGGATATTCACAACAGTGTCTAGGGTCTAGACAGTATTTTGAGTCAGGTGCCACCAGAAAGTAGGCCAGATTGGGAACAATGCCCAAACATGGGCTCTGTGGGCTCTTTCCGTCTTATGATTCCAGAAAAGTTCTGTCCTCACCTTTCCTACCTTTGGCCCCATCCCACCCAGGTATCTAAGGATGATCGCAGTGATGTGGAGAGCAGCTCAGAGGAAGATGATGTGACCACCAGCACAAAAAGCCCCTGTGGCAACAGCTCCAGCAATGGTGCCAATCAGGTGAATGGTCACATGGGAGGCAGCTACTGGGCTGAAGAGTGAGGTGGTTGATATGGGGACTTCAGCACACGTGGACTTGTAGGGCCATTGGCAACCTACTCCTCTTCAGCCTCCTCACAGCAACACTCCTGTGATTAGGGAGTGTGCAGGACACTGAGGAGAATCAAAGAAGCAAATATTTTCACTTAAAAAAAAAAACTCTGCCATTTTGTATTTAATAGACTCCAGGTTCTTTCAGTAATGTTATTTGCTCTGTGTATGTGTGTGTATGCATGTGCATTTGTGCATATGTGTGAGTTTCATTGCCTGGGTTGGGGCACAATTCTGGACTGGGGCCATTAGGCCTCGCTTGGTCCCCCTTGAACCCACCTCAATCCCAGATTTGACTGCTTGAATAATGCTGGCTCCAGACTGTCCCCTCCCTTGTTGCCTATGGCTCTTGAGGCTCTGGCCATCTGAATGGAGCAGCGAACTTCAGCTCTAGGTATCTGCACTGTTTCGGAGCTGGACTGTTTCACATGAAGTTGTATAGAAACAGACAACCACGGACAGATGACCAGGATTGCTGTGGCCCCTAGCTAGATCCCCTTCCTACCACCTGGACAGCTGCTGATACCCTGCTCTTTATTCAGTGGTACGCAGGGAGTTGGGGGTGGGAGGAAAGAGTGAGCTGAGGGCTGGAGGACAACAGCCACTGCGTGAGCTGTTAACGGTTTATACTATTGTTTACTCTTCTGTGATTAAAAGTGCTTCAGCCCTCATCTGCTGTCTCAACTTCTTTAGTAACTGTCTCCAATTCCCTGAATCCATAAGCTAAGTAAGAACTTATCCAGGTCAGATTTTAGAGGCCCTTGGACACCAGGTTTTTCCTTTCTGTGCATGCTGGGAAAACACTGCCTGCATTTTAGGGCTTTATATTTTAAGAAAAAATAAACCTGTAGTGATCACAAGAAAAATGCTGAGCAAATGAAAGCATGTATATTGCCAATGCAACAGAGGCTTTGGTTGAAGAGCTAAGACACCTTTAGTATTTCCTGTATTTCCCAATGTTATTGAATATAGAGACTGCCAGTTAACATTTGAAGATTGCGAGAAGTGAGTCTAAGCAGATGTTTTCTCTTTAAGCCCACGGAGAAGCAGTCTTCCTAATCTAGATTTTTCTCTAGTTGAGGTCAAGGTAAAATTACCAATAGTAGTATTCATCTCTTAGAATAGTTTTCCATTTAATGCATATTCAGATTATCAAAATGTTCCCAGATGCTCATGCGTACATTAAGACATACGAAGTACTTCATTGTTAGGCAGATGGATAAAAATCGAAAGAAACGGGTTATTCTAAGAATCAGATACTCATTTGATGTTCGTTGACATTATTGAGATGTTAGCTCTACTAAACTTACCTTACTGAGTGGCTGGATTTTTAAAAGACTTACTAGAAAAACTAAGTTCTAGAAAATCTTATGTAGTTATTTGGTCAGAGCTAGTCAGGAAGACTAAAAGACTAAGGTCGTAAATTTAGTTCCTTAACTTGCCATATTGTTGAATAGACTAGTAATTGTGAAATACGAATGAAATGCTTTTGAAAGTCACACAACACACGTATTTTGTCTTTTGAAATGTGAACAATTGCTTTATAAATACAATCTGGGTTAGTTGGCCTAGTTAATCTGACCAAAGATGCAACCAAGTGGTATAATAACTAAAATACTATCTCCTTCTTACATGCCAGGTACTGTATTAAAGCAAAGTAGGTTAACCTGCCTAAATTCAAACAGCTAGTAAAGAGACAAACTCAGTCTCTATTCTTAACCACTATACTAGAACACTTTACAAGACTTAATGTGAATAATAGTTGAAGAAACAGCCAGAGGCATAGACTTGATTAGTTTGCGTTGGAGGAGTGGACTGAGACTAGTGTCAGTTATAGGAACACGGTCTTGTTCTAAGGAGGAACTGTATGCATGTAGTTAGAGTGGGCAGTGACAGAGTGAGTGCCAGGGGGTTTGAATTCAGAACTGGAAGATAATAGTGTTAACTGGGGTAGCAAGAGTGTCAGGAGATCAGTTTACAGATGGCCAGGAAGGTTTCATGCTTGAGCGCAAGGACCCAAGTCAGTGGAGAGCAGGTTAGATGCAGACTTACATCATCCCTACTAGAGAACTAGGAATATTTGTAAGTGAAGTAAGGCATTACCTCTCCTCTGTTGACTACGAAAGAGTTTTAACTTTATTATTTATTGAAAACATAACGTTTGTATAATGTTTAACCGCTTGGAAGATGATTTCACAATATCAGAAAATGAACTTCAAAACACTTACGTAAAAGTAGGATTATCCCCATTCCAGAAATGAGTGTTCTGAGTGTCTATTACTATGTAACTAACCACTCAAAAATATAGTAGCTTAAAAGAATAATTTGTTATTTCTCAAGGTTTGGTTGGTCCAGTGAGCTCAGAGATACCTTATGGGGCTGCAGTCACATGGCAGCTGGGAATGGAGTTGCTTAAAGACTCAACTGGGCTGGAATGTTGAAGATGATTTACTAGCCTGGCTAGCAGTTAATGCTGGCTATTCCCTAGGAACTCTGTCCAGGCTGTCAACTAATGTACTTATGCGTGACCTCTCCACGCCTTGGGCTTTGCACAAGTGGTTGCATCCATGATGCAGGAAGCAGAAGTTGCTAGGCTGTTTAAGAATGTCAACTAGAACTGGCACACATTACTTCCACTGTATCTATCCTATTGATCAAAGTAGTCACAGGGACTGCCTGGATACGAGGGGGTGGAGAGATAAGACTACCTCTTGGTGAAGGAGTGGGAAAGTCATTGCAGAAGAGCATATGGAATGGGAAATACAGTTGTGTTCACCTTTGAAAAATTCAATCTGCCACAGTGAGGAAACTGAGTCTCAGAAGTTACTTAAAAAAACACAAACATCTTAGACTATCATGTATTGTGAGCTTTCACATTATCACAATCGTAAAAATAATCATGTGAGTTTAGTTAATGGGTGATAGTATGCTGATTTTAAACCAAGTTTTTCAGACTTTAGATCAGTATTCCTGCATGAAGATATTTTCAGTTCAATACAACGTTTATTAAGTGCCTACTTTATGATAGGCTTTGTGGCAGAAGCTGGGGACACAAAGATGAACAAGATCTGGTCTCTGCCCTCAAAGAGCTCAGACTTCAGTAGGCTAAGGGGGGAGAAAGGTGATACAATATGATAACAACTATTCTAAATTATTCTTGGCAAAGTGGGATAAAACTTGAAAGTGGAGCTGGGCCATTAAAGATGAGGAGAACTTTTGCCAGGAAAACAAGAATGGGAAGGTATTATGGTTTAGAAGAGATGTGAGTATATGAACGATATCAGTTCTGGCTTGATGCAGACTAAAATAACCTGAGACAAACTAGAAAAATTGTGGCTTTGTGGTTTTTGTTTTTGTTTTTCCTTTAAAACATAGTTGAGCTTCTAAGAAAGGGACACAAAAGACACAAAGGAACTTAAAACTAGGGAAAGCAGAACATCTGATGCAATAACTGGAGGGACAAGGGGAATATAACCTAAGGACTTGGAGTTTTAATGCTGACAGGAGACAAGACTGTGGCCCCGTGCAGGAAGCGGGAACTGAGACCTCCAACTACAGCCAAGAACTAGAAAGAGCAGCAGTCTTAGTGAAAGTGGGGAAACTATCAAAAATTCACTCAGTTGGCAAAGGAGAAAGCCACGGAAGTCTGAATGCTTGTGGGGTCAGGATGTTCTTGAGAACTTTCTCAAAATCTGGGCCCACGCTTCATGTGAATTTGAGAACATAAGTATATGCTTCCTGTGTGGTCTGGGAAACAACACAACCCCCAACCCCTTCCAAGAGTAAGAACTTGCAGGAAAATTAGTCTCATATCAGTTACCTATGGGACTGCTCTGGAGAGACAAATATATGATGATGCAGACAGTGTGGGATTCGTACACCACCACCACCCACCAAATAAAAAAGCTCCAAAAAATCACCCCAAACTTGCAACACATATAACAAAATATTAGTATCTGATATGTATAATTAAAGAAATAACAAAGACAACCCAATAGCAAGAAAAAAGGGAAGCAGAGCAGGGAGCAAAAGATATGAAGGCGATTCCTAGAAGGTGAATATGCCAATGGATAGTCAATAAAAAGGTGATTAACCTTACTGGAAATCAATGACATGTTAGTAAATTAAAATGAATAGAAATCACTGCACACCAACAGAATGAGGAAACATTGCCTGTGAGAGTAAAACTGACATAACCACTTTGGAAAGCAACTTAACAATAACTAGTAAAGCTAAATACCAGTAATTCATCTTTTGTACATGGGCCCAAGAAAACGTACAAGGACACTCACTACATTGCTATTTTGTAATAGGGAAGAGTGGAAGTGACTCAGTGACCTTTCACTAGAGGAATGGAATAATCCCCAGTACCTCCTCCAAAAACTAAATAAATAAGTAAACATAATTACCTCCCCCCACCAAAAAAAAAAATGTTTTTAATCCCTTTTAAAATCGCATCAAAAAAAAAATACTTAGGAATAAACCTGACCAAAGAGGTGAAAGACTTACATGCTGAGAACTATAAAAGACTGATAAAGGAAACTAAAGATGATTCAAATAAATAGAAAGATATCCCATGCTCTTGGATTAGAAGAATTAATATTGTTAAAATGGCCATACTGCCCAAAGCAATCTACAGGTTTAATACAGTCCCTATCAAATTACCCAGGACATAATAACTCGAACAAATAATCCTAAAATTTGTATGGAACCATAAAAGACCCAAAATTGCCAAAGCAATCCTGGGGAAAAAGAACAAAGCTGGAGGCATAACCCTCCCAGACTTCATTAAATACTTAAAAGCTACAGTAATCAAAATAGTGTGTTACAGTACAAAAAAAAAGACAGGGATCAATGGAACAGAATAGAGAGCCCAGAAATAAACCCACACACCTACAGTCAATTAATCTTTAACCAAGGAGGCAAGAATATATAACGGAGAAAAGACCACCTCTTTGACAAGTGGTATTGGGGGAGGTGGACGGCAGCATGTACCATCAATTAAGTTAGAACACTCTCTCACACACACAAAAATAAACTCAAAATGGCTTAAAGACTTCAATATAAGACATGACACCATAAAACTAGAAAAGAACAGGTAAAACATTCTCTGACATAAATCATACCAATGTTTTCTTAGGTCAATCTCCCAAGGCAATAGAGATAAAAGCAAAAATAAACAAATGGGGCCTAATCAAACATAAGCTTCTGCATAGCAAAATAAACCATAAATAAAAAAACCTACAGACTGGGAGAAAATATTTACAAACAATGTGACCAACAAGGGCTTAATTTTCAAAATATACAAACAGCTCATACAACTCAATAACAAAAAACAAACTACCCAATCAGAAAATAGGCAAAAGACCTAAATAGGCTTTTCTCCAAGGAAGACTACATATGGCTAATATGTACATGAAAAGATGCTCAACATCGCTAATTATTAGAGAAATGTAAATCAAAACCACAATGAAGTACCACCTCACACCTATCAGAATGGCCATCATCAAAAAATCTACAAATAACAAATGCTGGAGGGGGTGTGGAGAAAAGGGAACCCTGCACTGTTGGTGGGAATATAAACTGGTGTCGCCACTATGGAAAATAATACGGAGGTTCCTTAAAAAACTAAAAACAGAGTTGCCATATGATCCAGCAATCCCACTCCTGG